TGTTGGTGGTTCTTTTATTTCTTGTTTTTTTTTTTTCCTTTTGCTTTAGTTTCTTACCTTGCCTGGTGGCTTCCTTCTTTTGGGCCTCATGGAGTTGTGATCTTCATTGTCTTTTTCTAGGATATTGCTTAGGATTGTTTGGAGTGCTAGTTTGGTATTCATGAAATTTCTCAGGTGTTCTTTGTCGTGGAAGCATCTAATTTCCCCATCGATTTTGAAAGATAATTTTCCAGGATACAGCAGTCTAGGTTGGAAGTTATTTTCTTTTAGGGCTTGAAATACTTGACTCCATGCTCTCCTTGACTTGAGGGTTTGGGTTGAAAAATCTGCCTTGATTCTGATGGGCTTTCCTTTGTAGGTGATTTGTTTCTTTCTCTAACTGCCTGTAGGATTTTGTTCTTCTGTTGGGTTTCTGGGATCTTGACTATTATATGTCTAGGCCTAGATTTTTTTTTGATTATGGCTAATTTGAGTTCTATATGCCTCACTTGTCTGTATGTCCAGTTCACCTCTGTCTGGGAAGTTTTCTACTATTACTTCTGTGAACAGTTTTTTTTATGTCAATTGTATTTTCTCCTGTTTTTTCATGGACTCCTATCAGTCTTATGTTATTCTTCCTTGCATCATGTAGCAGCTGCTAGATTGATTTCTCATGGTCCCTTACTATTTTTAAGAAATCTCTATTCTAATGGTCCTTAACCGCAATCCTGTCTTCTATGTCTGATATTCTATCTTCAGATTCCCTCAATCTGCTATACATGCTTTCAATGGAGTTTTTAATCTCCTGAATATCTGTTGGAATCTGTTTCATGGATTCCATTTCTTTCTTATGTTGGGCGATCATGGTTTCAATTTCTTTCTTATGCTGGGCATTCATGACTTCCAGCATATTTCTGTGCTCATCTGTTTTTTTCATCTGTTTCTGTTCTAGAGCCTCTAATTATGTCTTTCACTCTGCTCACTATCTCTGTAGTTATCTGGGAGATTATTTCTGCTTTGAATTTTTCTAGACCCTCATTCATCTGTTTTGTTACTTCCTGTGCTATCAGTTCAGGGTGTCCAGGTGGTTGATTATCAGACTTTTCCACCTCATTTTCCCCAGAAATTGCCTTTTGTGGGGTGGAAGCCTGAGTTTGTGACTTGCTTAAGTGTCTTCTCATTTTTGTTTTTGGTACTGTCAGTTATAAGTCAGTGAGTCCCAGTAAGGCAGTCACAGACCTGTGAGATTCAGACAGACTTCTGGCTGCAAGTCCCAAATTGAGCTACCCACCCTCCCACAGGGGCTGTACTACAGGTTCCAGCTGTCTTTCCCCTGACAGTAGTCCAGGATCAAGTGGGAGGTGATGATCCCTATTGCAGAGATTATCTTCACTTTTCCAGTAGACTTCAGTTTTCATCAGGGAGCCTGAGAGAAGCCCTCTCTCTGCTGTTCACCTCTGCAACTCAGGACAATGGCCTTTATGTCCCCCTGTCCCTCTGTAGTGTGGAACCGAGTAGCTGTACAGCCAAGAGGCTGGGGGGTGGGGGGCTGGTTGGCCAAGGCAGCGGCCGGTGGGACTGATGGAAGGGGGTATCCTCACGGTCTCCTGGATGTAAGTGGGCAGGACAAGCCAGATGGAGCAGGGCGCAGCTACCCGCATCTCTGTTGCTTTTCTCTTATAGCTCTTAAGATTTTGTTCTTATGTTGGGCTTCAGGGCTTTTGACTATTTGTGGAGCGGTTCTTTTCTTATCATAGCTGTTTGGGATTCTCTGTGCTTCAGTTAATTCAGTAAGTTAATTTTTTCCCCATATTTGGAAAGTTTTCTGGAATTATTTCTCTAAACAGGGTTTTTTTTTTTTGTACCTTGGATTGAATTTAGGAGTTTGCGCTTGCGAGACAGGCACGGTGCCACTGAGCTAAATCCCCAGCCCAAAACAGAGTTTTTTAAATGTCATTGTTGCTGTCTTCTGATTTTTCACTTGTACCAGTTAATCTTAGATTAGTCTTCTTTGCTTAATCTAGCAGGTGTTGATCTATTTTTCACATTCCTTTGTTGTTTTCAAGGTACCTTACTTTAATTGGTCACCGACAACAGCCCTGTCTTTTAGTTCTGATACTCTGTCCTCACATTCTTTACTCCTGGTGCCCATACTTTGGATGGAATTTTTAATCTCCTCAATTTATGTTTGGTGCTTTTCTTATAGACTCTTAATTCTTTGTTTAAGCTGATCATTCAAGTGTTGTATAATTTTGTTTAGCTCAGCTAGCTTTTTATTTATGTCTTTTGTAGACTTGCTAATTGCTTTGTATATTAGGCCCATTATCTGTTTAGTTATATCTTGAGTTTTCCAAGTGCCTTATCTGTTTTGTTATCACCTCTATTCACTTCAGCAGGCAGCACATATATTAAAAGTGTTATCATCTCTGTTATCCTTTTGAATAATTTGAGTGTATTGTTTTTGAGTTCCTCCCCTTCAGTGTACAGGAAGTTGAAAGATTTTGGAAGTAATTTGTTGCCCTCTATTCATGTTTCTGTTTTTATTTATTTACTTCAGCTTTTTGAGCTGAAGTTTGCAGGGTGGTTATAATGGAAAGCTTTGTTGCTAGTGTAGAAACCTCTTTAGTTAATATCTGCTTTTTAGTGATGCTTTCTAGGCATGGCTAACTATTGGCCTTTGCCTCTATCGCAGGATCTAACCACCTCCATTTATTTAAGAGGGGAGTTACTGCATATTTGGCCCAGTAACCAGTATTCCTGGCATGGTCCATAGTATTGTTAATGACACAAAGGCAATCCAGATATTGGCATCTAGAGTGAACCAATTACTAGCAACAACTGTGTCTCCTTAGCTTTAGTAATAAAATCAGCAATACTAATAGCATCAAAGACAAATTGAATATTGACATATCCTAAGAACCAATAATATGCCACTCTTAACCACAGAAGAGAGATCTGTAATTATGGTATAAACACTAAGATAAACCAAATATGGACTTACAGTAAGTATCTATTAAATGGAATTACTTTACTTCCACTAACAATACAACAGTATTTAATAGCAGAGTTAACTAGCTAGCTAAAGACTCATAAAAGATTATAGTTATACTAGAAGAGGTAGAGGGGGGTGGGAAACCAGAGAATGAAAAAAAGTAAAATTTGTCAATGGAAGATGAAAAGGAGAAGAGCAAAATGAGATAGGAGATCCTATGGAGGAGTGAAAGGAAATTAATAGTATTAGGAAACAGGAATGAATAAGAAGTAGAAAAAAGAAAAACAGAGTAAAATACAAGAAATTAAAGAAAGATAAGAAGGAAAAAGAAAGTTAAAAGGGAAGAAGAAAAGAGAGAGGGGGGAAAAAAGGGAGAAAGACCTCTAGGTCCCAAATAACTTCTCTTCCTGGGTATTGTTCTCATCAGCGATCTGGTTGGTTGGTTAGACCTCACCTCTGTTTCTTCATGCTAAGTGGAAGCAAAACATAGAGCCAGCCTGAAGTTGGCAGATGGTTGCAGCTGCTGCTGCTGCTCTGCTTCAGCCCACGCTACACAGTGCCTTTTGCTGCTCTGCATTGGCCTATGTGGGGAATGGCATGTGGCCTCAAGATCTCTTTTACTGTTAGGTGACTATCTTTTCTGGAGAAAGTTGGGAAGCTTTATCTCTAGAGAAACTGAACAGATGAAGAAGCTCCAGAATCATCTGGGCCATTAGGCTTAATGGAAGCAGGGGTGAACCCCTGAATACTAATGGATAGTATTTCCCATCCCTGTACCCAGAAAACTGGTATTCACACATATACCACCTTCCTGGTGGAAGTTTAGAAAATTATTTGAAATGGCTGCAGAGAAGACCAGGGATGTAGCTCAGTGGGAAAGTATGTGCCTAGCATGCATGAAGCCCTCAGTTCAATCACAGTACTACAAGGGAAAAGAAAAGAAAAGAAAAGATGAACTGGCTCCAACAAAAATGAGCACAAAGTACAGAAATTTCCCATATATCACGTGTCCCTTACCCAACACACATGCAGCCTTCATTATCAAAAACCCACACCAGGGTTGTACAAAGTTTATAGTTTACAAGTCTATAGTTTACATTAGGGTTCACTCTTGGTGTACATTCTGTGATTTCTGGCCAATATATAATGACATGCATCCAGTATTATGGTACCATACTGAGTAGTTTCACTGCCCTAAAAATCCTTTTGCTCTACCATTCATCCTTTCCTCTCTACCAGCTCTAGGCTACCACTAATCTTTTTACTGTTTTCATAGTTTTACCTTTTTCCAAAATGTCATTTAGTTGAAATCATACAGCATATAGTCTTTTCAGATTGGCTTCTTTTACTAGATAAAATTTCTTTCCTCTGTTCTTTTTTTTTTTTTTTTTGGTACTGGGGATCGAACTCGGGAACTTGTGCTTGTGAGGCAGGCACCAGAACCACTGTGCTAAATTCCCAGCCCTCCTCTGTTCTTGATAATGCATTTCTTTTTAGTGCACTAGTGCTCCATTCCTTTGGTGTACCATTCTTTTGGTTGTCCATTTACGTTCTGAAGGACATACTGATTGCTTCCAAGTTTTGGCAACTATGAATAAAGCTACTAACCATCTATGTACAGGACTCTTCTTTGTCTCCCCCCCCCCCCCGCCACTAGTTAATGACACAGGGCCTTTGCACTGAGCTATATCACCAGCCCTTTATAAAATTAAAAAAATTTTTTTTTCTGAACTGGGGATTTAACTTGGGACCCTGTGCTTGCAAGGCAGGCGGCCAAACCACTGAGCTAAATCCTTGGTCCCCCCCAAAATTTCTTTTAATGACAGGGAATTACTAAGTTGCTAAGTTGCCTAGGCTGGCCTTGAATTTTCAGACCTCCTGCCTCAGCTGGAATTATATGTGTACCATTACACCCTGGTGCTGCAGTAATATATTTTGTTTTAAATTAATAGCTGAATGAATTTCTGTGATATTATTGTGAAAAAAATCTAACTATGTTTGTTTCTATTTATTATCTTCCATATTCTAGTTCATGAAACCTGGAGTTGAGAATTCAAGGAACTACCCTGATTTGGCAAAAGAAGCAGGTAATAGAGAAAATTCAGATCCTTGAACATTCATTGCTTATTGTTTGATCATTCCTAGTCCACGGTTAGGTTAAAGCAGCTTTCAAGCACAATGAAGCCTAGTCAGTGGGAAAGAACTTAGGCAGAGTGTGGCTTAGTGACATACTGGAAAAGAAAAAGGAGAGAGGGCATGTGTGTTCTTAGCAGCCACATAGCCAGAATGAACTGTGGCTTGTGGTTTATGTGTTGTCCAGATGTTTGTTGGGGTGTTAAAGGGATCTTTGGGAGAGAAAGGTGACATCTTTAAAGTAGACAGCTTGATTCTAGTGTGGGTTCTCTGGAGTTATGGTAGAATTACTGGAATGCTTTCCTTTCTTGGAAAAGGGAGAATCAAATTCAAGATGTATGGACTACCCATGTGGTGGCTTTTCTCTCTTCATTTTAGTAGGCTAAATTAGAGAATTTTTTTTCTGTCACCAGGCTATTGCATGACTAAATGAGGTGATGCACTTTGTTTTTTGTTTATTCCTGTGTGTGTTAGGGCCAGTAAGCAAAGGACTTGGCTGAATTCTTGTGAGCTAGAACTCAGAGAGAAAGATCCAAGTCCTTGTTCTCTAAGCATCGGGCATTTTTTAGAGACACAAGCTTGGGCCTGTATGCAGCTGTCTTTACTATGGGTCTGAACTCCAGCAGAGAGATATCCTTCCGTTGTTCTCTTTCTCATGTCCTTTCTATCTTTTAGAAATTATTTATTTATTTGTTATTTATTATTAGTACATTTGGAGTACGTAATGATTACATCCATTGTGGGGAGTATCGGTGCATAACACACCTCAGTTCCTTTTTCATCTCATCTTTCCTCTCCCTCTCCCTCTCTCCCTCTCTCTCCCTCTCTCTCTCTCTCTTATAAGCAGACAGCTTCTTTACATGGCCGAAGGAAATAATGTGGAATGAATGAATGAATAAATAAAAATAAATAAATAAATAAAAATAAGGGGAAGGAAGGAAAGGAGTGAGGGAAGAAGGGAAGGAAAGGACATTTAGCCTAAGCTTAAGTGCCTGTGTTAGGGATAGTCCTTCAGGGGGAGCCCCCCTACCCAAGTCCTGCTAGCTTGTTGCTGGGAAATTGAAAAAATGTTATTGAAATTATTCCATGGATGTTCCTGCTTGTTTCCATGAGTACTCTGTGTGCCCAGCGTATGTATATTTAAATTCTGCATCAACTTATTATTCAACTCAATATGTATATGTCATTTAATTAATCAGACCATCTTAACCCTCTACTCCTAAATTAAGATTGATGAGATTTGATTGACTGCTATTATTTCTCATGGAGGCCACTATTCATTTCATGTTTATTCTGTGTAGAAATTCTTCTTTTCTGGGAATTGACTAGTAAGAAGAAAACCTGTCTGCCAGGCATGGTGCAACATACCTATAATCCCAGTGCTGGGAGGGTGAGGCAAGAAGAGTACCATGAGTAGGAGGTTGGCCCGGGTTATATAATCAGTTCAAGGCCAGCCCGAACTACACAGTGAGGCCTTATCTCAAAAACACAGAACAAAACAGAAAAAAGAAAAAGGAAAACTAGTCTGAACAACTCCTCTTACTTGTTAGTATAAATCTTATTTTGGAAGTTACAGAAGGAAAACAAGCAAGGGATTTTTCTGTAGCATAAACCTTTAAAACTTAACTTTGGGCTGGGGGATGTCGCTCAGTGCTAGACCACTTGCCTAGCATCATGAGGCCCTGAGTTACATTCCTAGCACTGCAAAAAGAGAAAAGAAAAAGGATGCTGGGAGTGCTGCACTGTAGATCACTATGGCCAGGCCTAACTTGCCTCCTCCCATGGATGAGGCAGGGCCACGTGTGGAATGAGGAACATGATGTGCCTTCCTCACTGTCTGTTCCCCATAAAACCATCAAAGCATGATGTTCTGCAGACCTGAGCTACTCTCCTGGCTCCAGTTACAACCAGCCCCTTTTACCAAGCCTTGCGCTTCCCTTATCTCTACGACATTAAGTAAATAAATACATACATACATACATACACACATACAATGCAGTTGCCTGGCAGACCTTTTCTCCCATCAGGAGTGAGGCTCCACCTGGCCCCAGCTTTGTTCTTTTGTATCTCTTTGTTTTTTCTTCATCCTCCACCATTCTTGCTCCGTGGACCCTTCAGCCACATAGGCTGTGGGAAAAGACTCACTCATATAACTTCCAAAAGCGCCATTAAACCACATCTGTGACATTTTTGTTGGATATTTTTCTAACCACAGTTTAGAGAGGCAAACCCCTAAACAACTGTAAATTATTTTCACTTTGTTCTTTGAGGGTTCATTGCAGACTGAGGTGCTGCTGCAGGGTGATTGGCTTTACAGAACAGTGAATCCAGAAGTCTCACCCTCTCCTCCAAACCAGTTTTGCAGTTCTTCCACCATTTTCTTTCCCAGCAGTTCTAAATGCATAGAATGGAGAAGAGCACAACCAGAATTGTGTCCTGTCACTTCCATTATTTTGGGATGTCAGCACTATATACTTTTTTTTTGTACCGGGGATTGAACTTGGGTCCTTAGCTTGCAAGGCAGGCGGTGGAACCACTGAGCTACATCCCTGGCCCAGCACTATATACTTTTATTCATCCTTCCTTCCCTCCAAGAAAGGTTGGGATCCTTTGTACCTAAATACAGATGATACACGTTGGAATGATAGCAACATGTGCACTCTTTGAAACTCTTTGAACTCTTTGAGCTCTTTGAAACATTCATGCTTCTTTGTTTTCTCATCCTTTTAACATTTTTATTTAATAATTATTTTAATCTGAAAGTTTATTCAGGAAATTTCAAGAAACAGTATGTCTCCTGGGCCCCCTTGTAACCAGTTTTTCTCTTGGGGCTCTTGTCCTGAGGGCAATGGGAAAATGAAGCCCACAGAACAGCAGTGGGGAATGGAACCAGGTGTGGTTTATTAGAAAGAAAAAAAGGAAAGCTCTTGCTAGTGAAAAGGAGCTCTAAAGGAAGACACCGAGGAAGTGTCCAGGTCTAGAGGCTTATATGGAGTTTTTGGTGTGCAAAGAGGGCAGATGGATACGCAAAAATGCAGTTGCCATTGTTGCTAGGCTCTTGATGTACAGAAAGCTGACTCTTTTTTTGTCCTTTGAACACCAGTTTTGTGAGGCTTGTCCCAGTTTACACAGACACTTGGCCTTTGTCCCCTGTGCTCCAGTTTGCCAAGGCTTATCTTACCTTGCCTTCAGTATAGTCAGGTCCTTGCCCTAATCTGCATATCATCCCTCTACCTCTTGTCTCACTGTGAAGGATTCAGAATGGTGTGGTGTGCAGGTCTCAAGGCTGTTGATATTTAAAGGAGGGACAGAGGAAAGCAATGTATTGGTTTAGAGAAATCAAAGTTTTATTGCAAAACAGGGTACAGCTTATAGTAAGCAATGATGAGCTCTTTGTGGCTCATTCTTTCTTGCTGATTATAAGAGCAATGGATGTGTCTTATTGGAATGTAATTATGTAACAGTGAAAGCAGAATGTTGTGGCCCAGACCCAGCCACAAAACTTGGATTGTCTTCTTGTAGACACTTGTATGGTGTACTTGTATTTTATTTCAGTATGTTTCCTCTGGTTGTATACAATCATATTCTAAATGTAGTTTTGTATCCCAGTTTTAAAAAATGATCTATCTTGTCTTTATTTTTGATTCTAGAACTGGGCAACACTTCATTCCATAAAATAAAATAAGCATTTCCTTGTATTCTTAATTTTTAAAACTTATTTTATCATGCATTTTCCCATTACTTAAAATTGTTTGAAAAAATGTCTAATTTTTGTACACTATGTATGTATATTTATGCCCTAATTTTTGTTGGAATTTAGGTTCCCAATTTTAACATTTTGGGGTAATCATAGTGAGCATTTTGCTAAATATTTGTTCTCATGATTGGTTATTTTTGAGGACAGAACCTAGAATCAATTGACTAATGACTGTGAACATTTTTCTTCCCCAAGGAATGTGAATATTTTGAAGGTCTTGCCAATTTATTTTTCAGACTGTTAGAGTCTCAATGGCAGCATATGAGAATGTTTTTCTTAACATAGTTTCTCCAAATTGTATATAGATAAATAGACAAGAGTGGTGGGGGATGGCCTGGGGACGTTCACTCAAGGACTTTCGGCCTCACTGGGCCTCGGGTTCAGGCCAAGTACGCAAGACCAATTAGAAAATGACTAGTGGTGGGAGGCACCTGCTTGTTAATCAGTAAGAATCACTAGGCACTTTGCACCCCTGTAAACATGTGGAGTAATTATCCTGAATGCCCTGAATTTGATCCTCTTCGTTCGTATGTGTGAAGGTCAGAGGGTAGAGAACTCTAAAGGCTGGAAGTGTGGGGAAATAAAGGGAACCAGAACAAAGGAACTCATCATTGCTTACTGTAAGCCATGTCCTACTTTGCAATAAAACTTTTGTTTCTCTAAACCAATACTTTGCTCGCACAGTCTCTCCGTGGAGTGCTGGAGTGTGGCAGCTAGGCAAATTCTTCCTCCTAGACTGCTAAGAACCAGGACAGTGACATTATTATAAGTAAAAGGCTTAGTTTTTGCTTATATTCTGAACACAAAACTTATTTTCTGATTCAACCAATCCTATAAGCAATTATATGTTTTCAATTAAATTAAAAATATCCAAAGTAATATGTTTATTCAGTTTGAAAAATAAAGCTGGGCATGGTGGTGCACGCCTGTAATCCCAGCACTGAGGATTTTGACTGTGTCAAAAAACAAAACAAAACAAAGAAGTTGGGTTTAGTCTTTGGTACTGGGGGAGAAAATGGCTTGTAATTCACAGGTCCTTCCCCCAGGGACAATTAAAGAAAAACAGAAAACCAAAAACAACTCTTTTGTCCTTAGGTTTTCTGGTGCTTACCTATATACACAAATGCTTTTTCTATAATGCTCATCAAAGTTTTTGATTAATCAATTTTAGATGTTGATTTGGATCTCACTGTGATACGTGACTTCAGTAGAGTATCGAGCTGGTACCTCTCCAACCTTTCTCTCTGTCTTCTCTTGTGTGTGTGTGTGTGTGTGTGTGTGTGTGTGTGTGTGTGTTTGTGTGTGTGTGTGTGTGTGTGTGTGTTTTGCTGGGAATTGAACCAGGGTCTTGTGCATGCTTGGCCAGTGAGTGCTGTGCCACTGAGCTACACACCACCATCCCCAACCTGTCTTTCTCTTTCCTGTTTATGTACATCATTTTTCTCAGTTCACTCACTGGTCATTTCTGCCCCTTTGGATAGCATCCTTAAAACTCCATTTCTTGTTTCATAAAAAAGATCATCTCTCCGTCCTGGCTTTGTAAGATGAGTGCATCAGTTCTACCCCTCCCCTCATCCCCATCAATGACATCCTGTCACGTGAAGGATGCAGTTAAACAAGACAAAGACCTTGCCATTGAGAAGCTTCAAGACTCTTAGGATTTAATGTATTTACAGTTAGATGTGCAGTTAGGACAGAATGATTGCTTATCCTTCAAATTGAACATAGACCATATAGAGGTAAATATAATCTGAGAAAACTTTAAACTTAACTTTTACTCACCTAAAGCAGATACTTAAAGTACTTTCTTTTCATTTTATGAAAAAATAGAACAAATATTCATAACCAAATAATAAGAGAATAGCAATAGTTATTACACTGTGAATTATCTTCAAAGTAATAACTCAGTGCAAGACATACACCAAAAATATTCTTACAAAGAGAAACAAATAGATAATAACACAAACTTTCTTTTCAGCGAACTAAGATAAACAGTATAAATGAAACAAATTAATATATACTGAAATTTTTTTCTTTTGGTGCCAGGGATCAAACTTGGGTCCTTGCACTTGCACAGCAGGTGGCGAAATCACTGGGCTAAATCCCTGGCCCCACTGAAATATTTTTAAAACAATGGAATATGTAATTTGGGAAAGTCTTTGAGCCTCTCCCTACTTCCTATTTATCTCTCTTCTATTTATATATATATATATATATATATATATATATGTTTCTCATATAAGAGAAACCATGTGATATTTGAGCTTATGTATCTGACTTTTTCACTTAACATTATGTTCTCAAGTTGCATCCACTTACCTACAAATCCCTCAAATTTATCTTTCTTTGTGTTTAAAGTACTTTTTGATTTAAAACAACCCTTTTTGTTTTTATAGGTCAGAAGGCTTTAGCGGATGCTCAGATCCCTTATTCAGCAGTGGAGCAGGTATATGTTGGCTACGTTTTTGGTATGTAGTAAACTCTGTGTTCTAAAATTATTCACCTAAATCTAGGAGCAATTGCATAAACAATGTGAAGGTGTTTAACTTTAACCTCAAAACTCAAAATTTGGAAGCTTATTCCCATCATTCATAGATTTTCTTTGTGTACTAGTCTTGTGTAAGTTATTTATTTTTTCCATTATAGTATTACAAAACATGAAGAAAATTTAAAAACTTATTTATTGTTTTTTTGTGGTACCAGGGATCAAACTCAGTACCTTGCACTTTCAAGGCAGGTGCTGCACCACTGTGCTAAATCCCCAGCCCTTAAAAACATTTTTGATCTTTTTCTTTTGGTACTGGGGATTGAACTCGGGTCCCTGTGCTTGCATAGCAGGCAGCGCAACCACTGAGCTAAATCCCCGGCCCAGCATTTTTGATCTTAAAAAAAAGAATTACCCAGGCCCGGGGATTTAGCTCAGTGGTTCTGCCGCCTGCCTCACGAGCACAAGGGCCTGAGCTCGATCCCCAATACAAAAAAAAAAATTACTCATAGTTCTACCATGTAAGGATATCTTTAAATTATTAAAGTTATTGTTCAGAAGATAAAGTTTTGCTTTTGCTGTCTTAAAATTTGTATTTATTGACTTTTTTGTATCTAACAAAATTTTTCATTAAACATTTTCTGATTAAAAATATATTTGTTA